ATATTGAAACATCTGAACATTTTTTTATTTCAAACAGGTGAATTGATGTTTAAACAAATAAATATTCCATTTATTATGATGGAATGGGCTAATATTAAAACAATAAAATATAGAGCTAATTTAATTCTAGAATTTTTTCTTAATCGTCATTATATTCCTTATGATTCTGAAACATGTCAACCACAAAATCGAACAAATTATCTTTTATGGAATAGTCAAGATATTCTTTGAATTAAAAAAAAATTATATTCATTTATGTCAGATTTAGTTAATCATCTTGAATCTCATTAAATATAGACACCTCACATGTACAATTTTTATACATTTTAAATATATTTTATAATCTGATACTAAGTTTCGAAATAATCAAGATCGCTGATAGTTGTGTATTGATTGAAACTATGGTTCAATTGTTTTCGTCAATTTAAAATATTAAAACACTTTGCTTGCGCAATCAACATCTTAAATCGACTTCGAGACAAAGAGATACATAGCATCGTCTAAAGAGACACCTCATATACTGATCCGTATATATAAAATAAATTTCATCATTGATTTATGTTCCAAAAAGACTTGAAATGAATAAAACAGTGCTTGAAACATGAATTCGACGAAACTAGAACACTTCAATGCTAGTTATTTCCTTAGAAATATCAACGACACACGCCAAAGTTAGTCGCTTGGTACTACTTCTTATTCCTATCGGCTTTCCATTTGTTAGAGATTTATATGTGAAAGAAAAATTATTTTTTATTATATTAGTACAAATACAATATCTTAATATCTTTCCTACCAAAACTCGTCATCTTCTTCATCAAAAACAATAATAAGCACAATAACAAAGAAAAAGAATTTCCTTAAACAGATTTATAAAAAAAAAAACTACATTTAACTGTCAGTTAAAGATATATTTATAGTTTTCATTCTTTACGAAATACAGGGCATAGGGTAAAATACAAAAAAACAAAAAGATAAATAAATATTTTTATTTCCTGTTTCATATCAAATTAAAACAAGAAATTATATTGAAAATTTACATAGTTCCTTCATCTAATAAATCTTCTTCATCCATCATTATATTACCAGGAACATTCGATACAAATTGTCGACGAGAAACATTATTATTATTTGATAGACGAATTGATGTTGATATTGAATCATCTTTAACACTTAAATTTGCTTTAATTATAGCTGAACGAAGTAAAAGAGCTCGAGTTAATTTTTCAGATTGTTTGGTTGTTGTTAATGGATGTTGATATGGATACCAACGTTGATCAGTATCAGCAACATATAAAATTTTATTTTTTGAATCAATACGTGCTTTTATTTTTCCTAAACGAATTAAATGAACAAATTCATCTTCAAATATATCAATTGTTCTATTTAATTGACGTGCCATAACTGTCATACTTCCATTTTTATACGGTAAAAAATATATAACAATTATTCTATAACGTATTTCATAATATAATCTACGTAAATGAGATGCTAAATATTGATCTAATGCAAATATAGGTTCAAATTGAGACATTAAAGCAAGACATGATGAATATGATGTTTCATAAAATTTATAAAGAATATCACAAATAAATGGTTCTAATTCAAGATATTGTTTCATATTTGTTGACATTATTATTAAACGATGAATTTCTGATCATTCAAATGTTGCTAAACTGCATAGACAAACATATTGAATTAATGTTTGAGGTGAGATTAAATCCTAAAGAAAATTTTATTTATTTAAAGTAATAAAATGCTAATTTCATAAAATTTATTTTAGTGAAATCACTTCATATTTTTTTCGATGTTTATCTGAAGAAAAACTGATGGGCAATTTTTCAAATATTTTAGAAAACGGGATACATTAAAGTGAGTTGATTCTAGCGAATCTTACTTGAAAATGATTTGAACAATGTTCAAATGAAACACTAAGAAAATGACGTGCTGCTAATTTATGTCTTTTTGTTGTTAATTCTGCAATATCAGCATAGACTTTTAAACGTGAAGCTAATATTTTTAATCAGATACAACCGTTGAATTTGTTGTCGATGAATTCAGTGCTTCCATTGGATTAACCATTGTTATCGTAACCGATAATGTTACTGTTAACTTTGCTGTTGATTCAAGACTTTCAATAGCTTGTTCTGCTTTACTAAAATAAGATAGAATATTAGACCAATTTTGCATATAAATGATGCTTTTATAACATTCATACACATTGTCATCATATGTCGTGGTGTAATACAATAATATTGTGAACGTACATAACAACAAACAGCATTGAAAAAATCTCCAGCATCTAAATAATGATCACCAAGATCATCATGACCACGACGTATTGAATCTTTAATTGAATTTGTACGAAAATTTCTCAGATCAGTATCAAGTTTTTCAAGTTTATGAACATAATTTCGTTGTGTTCGTTCATATTATACTGCATCAAAATCATTTGGTAATGGTATATTTTGTTTTTTAATTTCATCAAGTACCTAAATATGATACTAGTTCAAATAAAACAAAAACAAATGTTTAATTTTACTTGTTTATAAAGAGAAATAAAATGTGTTTCTTGTATATATCTAAGAGTTGCTAAAAAAGCTTCATTACGTATAATGCTGGACAATGTTCTGCTATATATAATAAACGATAAATACGCATAAGACCAGTATATGATGATGTTATTGTTTCGAGTTCAAAATTTGTTGATGATATATCGACGTGATAATTTCCTTCATATGATGGTATTGTGATACTTCCATTCGAACGTTGTAAAGAAAGATTATTATTATTATTATTATCATCCTCACCGGCAGCAGTTGTACTGCCAACAAAATTTTGAGTGTTCATTAACTAATTATTAACATTTGATTCAGAATATTTTGACAAAATTATAATCTAAAATAAAAAAAAAAGAACACATAAAAATCAATCAATTGATTGTTGAATCCATGGTTGAATTATATTAATTAATTCTCTTTCTTTGCCTGTAAAAAGATGATTAGCATTCGGTACAATGCCTACTTCACTTTTTTTGGTATTTTTTAATTGTGCTTGATATAAATATATATCATCACAGGAAACAACATCATCTTTTTCAGCTCCAATATTCAAAACTTTTACTTGACGAATGTTTTCAATTTGATTTCTATCAAGATTTTGTCGACGTTCTATTGCTTGTTTTGTTATACGAAAATCTCCATCATTAATAGTATGAATTATTAATGAACCATTTTTTTTCGAGTTCATCGAATTGTTTTTGAGAAAATCGTTCAGATATGCCAAGTTCAAGTCGATAACGTCCAGCTATATTGACGACAATTGGTATATCATCATAATATAAAGTATAAAGTAAAACCGTTGTACCAACTCGTGAATGTCCTATAAGACCTCGAATAAAATATTTTTCATTTTTATTACGTAAATATTCAACAATACTTCTTAAATCATCTTTAGCTTCATTTTCATATCCTCCATAATCCCATTCATCACGACCAGTTGATTCACCACAACCATGAAAATCAAAACGAACTGAATGAAATTGATTTGTAGTCGAGTCTGATATGTCACGTGATAATTGCGGAAGAAAAAGTGCATTTTTATTTGACAAATAACCATGACATAATATGACAATATGTTCTCGGTTTTGATCATCAACATAAGGATTACGTTTTCGATGAAAAATACATGATAATTTATGTTGATAACATGGAGATATAACTGTAAATGGCTCTTCAATGAAATCAACCATTGTAA